CAAGATGGGGAGGAAGTAGACACTCTTTCCGTCTTGCTTGAGGGAGTGTGAATTGCCACAACCTTTTGGGGAAAGTCTTCCGGCTGTATTTATTAACAATAAAAATACGCATTTATTAACAATAAAAAAGCAATCTATTGTGGGGACTTTATTCAACAGAAATAAAAGTGTCAGTGCCTAAGGATATATGGATAAAGATATTTGCTCTGCCCTTATTTAGAGTAGGAAATCACTGGAAACCACCTGAATGTTCAGGAATAGGGGAATAATTGGATAAATTATGGTACAGGTGTTCTATGAAACATTATACAACTAATAAAAGAATGAGTTAGAGCTAGATATATAGGCCTGGAGGTATATTTGTGATAAATTGTTAAGTGAAAAAAAGCAGATTGCAAAGTAATATATGTGACAATCCCATTTTCATAAAAAATTAAAAAAAAATCCGTTAAGAAAAGTGTTTAAACTGTATGATTTTTTATGGGCATGGAGGGAGGACAGGAAGGATTCACAAACATTTGGTAACTTTGGCCACCTCACTGGGGTAGAGAGGAGTATTCCCTTTTTCTCCATAAGCTCAAGTATTGTTTGACTTGCTCTAGCTAGCATTCTGGTACTTTTGTTATTTACAATAAAATAAATCCAACAAAGCTCATGTGCTCTCCTTTGTACAAGGATGGACAAGTGACTATAATTGTTATAATTTATTGATCATTGCCTATGGGGCCATGCACTGTGCTAAGAACTTTCTCTGTGTGATCACCCTGGGAGGTCAATGCAGGAGAAGAAATGGGGGTCACGGGGGTTAAATGACCTGCTCAAGGCTGCACAGCTTGAGAACAGGGACTGGAACCCAGGTGTGTGTTACTCTGAAGCCACATTCTTAACTCCTACAAAATGCTCCCACCCTGCAGCTGTGGCAGCTTCCTGTGGTCTTTCTAATAGATGGTTCCTCCTCTGGTCATATTTTTGCTTCCATTTTCTCTCTGCCATTACATTTGGTAACCCTGAAAGGGAACTAACCTGTCATTCTCAGAGTAAGACCTGAGACTTGTAGAGAGGGGAACATCTGGTTCCTGCCTGGGCCACAGGCATTGTCACCAACGGGGAAACTAAGTCATGAGAATGCCTCCGGTGAGCTCCCCGCAGAGGGAACTGGGCTTAGCAGTCCGAGCACCAGGTGCCTTGTTGCTGCCTCCTTGTAGGTTGATAGGTCTTACAGGGCTGCTCAGTGGTGTATCTGAGGCTAGAACCCAGCTCCCCGGGGTTCTCATTCTGTACTCATGCTACCGGGGCAATCACACGCTACAATTCTGGCCTTCTCCCCTTCCACTCTGGGACCTGGCTTTGACAGCCAAAGAAACCTCGGATGAAGTAGTTCTCCTTTGTCTCGTGTTATTTGCTTTTTTAATGTACTTTTATGGTGCCATTTGATTATCCTGTTTTCAATTTTATTGATTGATGTTTTTAACTTTTTGTACTGAATACGTAATAATATATGTTGAGTCAAAAAAAAAAAAAAAAAGAAATTGTAAGCAGTACAACATGAACAGGAATTCCTCTCCCCACCCTAACTCCTCTTCCCTAGAGGCAACTGGTGTTACTAATGTCTCATGGAACCTTTCAGGAATATCTCAGTTAATAATCTATTTTTAAAAATTTTTATTTATTTTTAAGTAATCTCTCGAACTCACAACCCTGAGATCAAGTTGCACACTCTTCTATGTTCAGACTATGGGTATCATTGCCATGCCTGAGCCAGCCAGGTGCCCCAATAATCTATTTTTGAGATTATTCTATCACACATAGTGCTAACTCATTATTTTTAATGGCTGCATGGGATTTACATTATATTGGTAACAACTCCCCAAATGATGGACATGTAGATTGCTTCCAGTTTTTGCCCTGCAAACAGTAGTATAGTTCATGTCCTTGCACTACAGGTCTTTAAATATCTGTACAAGTATCTTTGTAGGATGAACTCCTAGACTTTCTAGGTCAAAGTGTATGTACATTATAATTTCGATGGTCTCTAAATTGACACCAAAGTTGTGGTGCTAATTTAGGTCTCCAGTGACATCGTGTAAGAGTTTTGCTTCCCTCCATGTTCGCCTAAGCTTTTAAATTATTGTCAATATTGTTTTTAATTTCTGCTTTTCTTATGATGAGTGTCGTCATCTGCTTGGGCTGCTATTACAAATTACCATTCTGGCATAAGCAACAGAAATTTCTCACAGCGCTGGAGGCTGGGAAGTCCAAAGTCAAGGGGCCAGCAGATTTGGTTCCTGATAAGAGCCCTCTTCCCCATTATGTCTTCACATGGCAGAGATAGATACAGAAAGACAGAGGGAACAGTCTCCCTCACGTCTCTTTTTATAAGGGCACTAACCCCATCGTGAAGGCTTCATCCTCATGACCTAATTACCTGTCAAAGGTTCCATCTTCCAGATACCATCACATGGGGGATTAGATTTTCAACATATGTATTTTAGGGTGATACAAACATTCAGCCCATAGCAACGATGCTCATAGTCTGAACATCTTTTTACATATTTAAAAGCCATATGTCTTTCCTATTCTCTAAACTGCATGTCCTTTGCTCATTTTTCTATTAGGTTGCTCTGGGAGACTTTCTAAGAAGTCAAACCTGCATTTGTTGAAGAATGAGAATTTGGTGACCAAGTGTGTAGGATGAAGGCCTCCTGGGATGGAAATACATCTGGATGTGATGGACAATCTCACCATCTGCCTGCTCAGGCCCAAGTAACAACCTGCATGTTGATAAAGTGCTTTGGTTTTCTTCCCCCCCCCCCCCAACCATTTTCATCAAGAGTATCTTAATGGAAATGCACAACATTGGCCTGAGGTCAGTGGGTCAGGAATTAGGATCTCTTTTTGACAGATTAGGAAAAGAGGTTCAGAGAATTAAACTATGTTGTTCAAGGTAACACAACCGAGGATGCCAAGGCCAATGGCAGGCATCTGCTCATGGGACCTTCAGGTTTCAGGCTCGCGCTCTGGAGCCAAATAGACTGGGGTGTAACTGGAGACCTTGGAGACGTCACCGCGCTTCTGAGCCTTGGCTTATTAGACTAAGGATAGTAATAGCATCTTCTTTTTTTGTGTTTGTTCTAAGGATTATATGAAATAATGTATGCACATTTATTATAACATGGTGTGTCAGTGGGTTTTAAGGTAGTGCCGGCCATGGTAATACATATTATGCTGCTCATGGGCTTTTGCTTTTAGCATTTTTTGTGGTAGTTCCAAAGCTCAATTCACATGTCTAAGACTTGTCTCTCGTATTTCATGCCATCTTTGCCCTGTTTTCGTCTGTCGATCCGGCTGAAACAGCTGGCTCTTCCAGGTTTGGGGGCCTGTGAGCGAAGAGTTGCTCTCCCCCCCACCTCTGCAGGGAGCAAACGCCTTGAGGGTTGGGAGCAGGCCTCCTCCTCAGACTGGCGCTCCTCAGGGCTCCCAGACCATATGCTCCCAGGAAATGTTCCTTATTGAATGAGTGAGGGAGGGTCTGCTCCCGACACAGCCCTAGTACAGCGCCTGGCAGTTACATTCCAGCACATGGCAAGGGGTCAGGAAACATTTACGCGTTGAATGAATAAACACACACAGCGCCTCGGAGTAAGGGCTCAAAAGGCATTTCAGGATTCCCTGCGCAGCGCCTGGTGCACAGAAAGCGCTAAGTGGCAGCCGTGGAGCTCCCTGGGCGAGGCTTGCAAAACCCAGTGCGAGAGCTCGGATGCACGGTGCTCGGGGCGGGGGTTCGAGTTCCGCCGCCGCTTCTTCCCCGCCGGGCGACCTCGGGCAAGTGACTCGATCTCTTCGACTTAACGTCTTTGTGCTTCAGTTTTCTCATCTGCAAAACGCGGACGCCCGAGCGCGACCTCGCCGAGGCACTCCCGCAGCCCGGGGGACCGGCAGGCGAGCCCGCCGCAGAGCCCCGCCAGGCCGCCCCGCCTGCGCGGCCCCGGGGGGCCCACGGCGGGGCCCACGGACGGGCGTTCCCGGGGCCCCGCGGTCGCGCCCCGCCGATCCGCGCCTCCGAGGGGGGCGGGGCACGGCGCCCACGCGGGGGCAGCCCACGGCAGCGGAGCCGCGCCGCCCGCGCTTCTTTCTCTCCCTCTCGCTGTCCCTCCCTCTCCCGGACGGAGGCTCCGGCCGCGCTCGGCTCAGCAGCGCCGCCCGCGAGCCGCCCTCCAGCCGCCGCCGCCGCCGCCGCCGCCGCCGCCGCGGCTGCAGCTCCAGCTCCGGGCCCCTCCCCCGCCCCCCCGCCCCCCGCCCCCGCCCCCCCGCGCGGCCGGCGCCCGTCACGTGACGCGGCGCTAGCCAATGGCGGGCCGAGCCGCGGTCGGCGGCCGCCATTGCTGTCAGAGCGAGCGAGCCCGGGGAGGGAGGAGAAGCGAGGCTGACTGGGGAGGAGGGGGGGGTGGGGGAGGAAGAGGAAGGAGGGGACGTCGCTCGGCTGCCGGGGTCGCCCGCTGGCTTCGTCCGCACCCCCCCCTTCGCGAGTTCGCGCTCCGCGGCGGCGGCGGCTCCGAGGCGGCGGCGGCGGCGGCGGCGGCGGCGGCGGCGGCTCCGGGGCTCGCCTCCCCTCACGCGCCGGCGGGGGCCGAGGGGGAGTCGGTGGCTGGAGATAAACAAGGCGGCGGCGGCGGCGGCGGCGGAGGCACAGGGAAGGCGGAGGCGGCGGCCGGCCGGGAGGCAGCGGCGGCCCTGAGAGGCGGGGAGGGCGCCGGGCCGCGCGGACAGCGCCCCCCGCCGCCGCCGGAGCCGCCGCGCGAGCCGCCGCGCGAGCCGCCGCGGGAGCCGCCGCGGGAGCCGCCGCCGCCGCCGCCGCCGCCGCCCGAGCAGGAAGGAGCCGCGCGGCCGCCGCGGACCCCCCCGCCGGCCCGGGCCCGCCGCCCCCGGCGCGGCGTCGCCGCGGCGCCTCCCGCCCGCCGGCCCTCGCGCCCTCCTCCCCCGGCGGCGGCGGCGGCCCGGCCGCCCCGCGCTCCCCGGCGAGGCGCCGCCGCCCGGCCCGGCCCGGCCTCGCCTCGGACGCCTCGCTCCGACATGCCCCGCTCTGGCGGCCGGGCTCGCGGAGGATCATGACTGCGGCAGCGAACTGGGTGGCGAACGGGGCGAGCCTGGAGGATTGTCACTCCAACCTCTTCTCGCTGGTGAGTAGCCGGGCGGCGGGGCGGGGGGCTGCGGCGGGGGGGCCCGACTGCGCCGCCGACCAACTTTCTCCTCCCGCCGCCGGGACGTCGCCCCTCCCTCGCCGCTGCCCGCCGCCCGCCGCCGCCGCCGCCGCCGCCGCCGCCGCCGCCGCCGCCGCCCGCCGCTTCTCCCCCCTTTGGATCGTCTCTCCCTCGCCTTGGATCCCATCCAGTGTTTATTTGGCTCTTTAAAAATCATTTGTGAGCGCGGCGCTCGGCGTGGAATTTGCATGTGGAAGTCTCAGAGCTGCGGATTCTGGGTCGCACTTCGAACGCCCACCCTCTGTTGCCATCACACCCCCCTTCCCCTCCGCTTCCCCCCCCTTTTTTTTTTTTTTTTACCCCTAAATGTGGAAGGCTTTGCCTTGCGCTGCCCGCGCCCGCGATCAGCAGCCTTTTCTCCCCCCCGCCCCCCGCCCCCCGCCCGCCCCCCTTGCGGGATCGGCTGCCCGCCCGCCCGCCTTTTGAATTTTTTTTTTTTTTTTGATTCCATAATGACACCTGCAATTTCGCCCGAAAACAGTTGATTGAGTGCGATTGTGTCAGTAAAGGACTCTTGCACCCGAAGCTCCTGCGATTGTAAACAGCGACGGCCGCCTGCCTCTCGGGGCTCCCTACGCCGGAGAGCCGGAGAGCCATTGCACCGAGCCGACGGAAGGTGGAGGAGCCTTTTTCTTCCCTCTCTCCTCCTGTGTCTTTTAAAAACTGTTTTCTCTATCCTAACAACGAATCCACACACACACACAAAAGCAACAAGCTGGGCGGTTTGATAACATCGCTTTTATCTGCCTTCGCCTTTCTCGCGCTCTCTCTCTCTGGTAATTGACAACTTTTCCCTCGGATCTGAATCGCCTGCCCTAATCTTGAAGCAGTTAGGGTGTCAATTGTTCTCCTGGAAGCCTGGCACCCGACGACGACGTCTAGATTCATCGAAATTAAAAATGTGTAGGGCTCCAGCAACTCTTTCCTGGCGGTGGCACTGACATTTGGTGGTAAATGCCATCTCTGCTTTTTTATCGGATCGTATTACCTAGCTCTGAAAACATTCACCTTGTTAAACCTGGCGTTTAGGCTGATAATTGCGGTGCGTGGTCTTTAAATATGTGCCTTGTGCATGAGTTACTGTATGTATAGCTATGTGCCCGGGAGACTACGAATTTGTTTAAATATTGAGCAAAGATTTGTAAACAGATGTAAGGCAATTATGTTTCAAGCGTAGAATATAATTGGAAAATTGGCTGAACGGTTTGTTTGATTTAGCTTTTAAAAAAACCCAACTTAAGTCTTGTACCCTTTTTGAGGGGACTGCCTTTGGAGAGCATGCATTTTGGAAATTGTTTTCTGTAACCCTTGCAGTAGATAGAAGTATCATTTCCTTTTAATCCTTGTTTACGATTACACTGGATAAATAATTTAGTGTTCAAATTGTAATTAGTTACATTTAATTATGGGTAGGCATAGATGCTTTTTTTTTTTTCTCTTTGAGACTAGTGGAGAAATACACATTCTTGCCAACTTTTCAAATGGAAGTGTTATTTTATTAAATATTTCCTTATGCAGATAAAAAAACATCAAGACACGTGATTTTTACCTACAAAAAGACGGTGACATAATATCTGTACTTTGAAGTATAGATCAGGTCAGTCTTTTTTTTTTTTTTTTTCCTTCCAACATTTTTATTTAGGTATTCAGTCTTAAAACTCAATTACAAGTTTCAGTTCTTCCTCTTCGTACTGTGATAATTTTCCCTTGATCTTTCGACATATAGGAATAGAATTCATTTTGCCACCTCTTTTCTCTCTCCTAGTATATCATTTAGTATCAGTCAGATTCAGAGACTTTAATAGATTAGCAAACATATTGATTAAGGGGTATTTAAAATGGTTTTTGTTTGGTGGCTGGTGACCACATTGACACTTTAACAGGTAATTAAAATAACCAAGTAGACCAATATTAGTGAGGAGAGAGGCCCGAAATTACCATATATCATTCAGACTGGTAATGGCTTGTGTATATGTGGCTAATTTATATACAGTAGATTTTGCAGACCAATGAAATTATATGTGTAGCCAGACTTTAGGATATATCATTTTTTTATCTTTTTTTTTTTTTTTTTTTGACTCAAGGATGATAATATTAAAGAGATAGATGCTTGAGATTCTTTTGGAGAAACAAGCAATTTTATAGGAGAGGATTTTGTGTTTTATGACTGACTAAAGGTTTGTACTTTGGGTGGGTATTTCTCTCCTCAGCCTTTTTAAACCAGGAATTGAGGGTTGTTGTTGTTTGTTTGTGTGTGTGTGTGTGTGTGTGTGTGTGTGTGTAGTATTACTTATTAGGTGGCAACTTTGAAATACAGAACTGAGGAAATGCATGGGTTGACCTTTTTTTTTTTATTTAACAACTGTAGAATGTCTACATTCTTTTGTATATGAAGGGTGGATAAGGTGCTAATTTTTTTTTAATTGAGAATCTTAAAAAGCTGATGATACTGTGAATATTTGCTCATTCCAAATGAAGAGTTTTCCTCGAAAAGCAAATACAGCAGGAGCCTAGAATTTTAAAAATATGTTGTCTGAAGTACATTGTATAGAATAGTTAATTCCAAGGGAGATAAAATCATCTCCTGTTTAAAATAAAGCATGTATTACAAGGACTCTTATGTGCTTAATGATAGCATGTATTTTTCTTTTTGGCCTGCAATTTTCTGAGCAAAGTATTGTTTATAGAGAATTTACTTAGATACTCATATTAATGTGCATTGAAATATAAACTAGAGGTTAAACTACAGATCATTAGTTGGTACCACACTAATGATCCACCCACTTTCTATTACCTTGAAGGGTTCATTATGGCTTAACAAAAGTTGATTGTGCAATCAACTACCTTAAGATTTTTGTTCTTGTTTTGCTTTCTGATTTTCTACTGCATGGCATCAGATTTCCCAAATTGTCTGTTATTCCCCCCCCACCCCCATTTCCTAACGTGAAGAATGCCATTGTGTATGTATGATATGGGTGATTGTATGTTTCTTACTCTTAACTGCTGCTGCATTAAATGCATGCCTTGCTGTTACCTTTGTGAATCAAAACTGTTTTCTCATGCAGTCCATCACATTTCTGGGAAGACTCTTGTTACATATTCAGTCAGTTATGATTCAGTTAAGTGTGTTAAATCTGTCTTTTTGGAAAGTGTAACAGTGCACCCTATGGTGTGTCAGCTCACCCTTGAGGGGAGACATAATTTCCAGATAAAAATATATTTTTAGTTTTGTTTCTTTAGTCTTGTTTCTCTACTGTGATCATATGGAGGAAAGTGATTTTGTGTTCTTTAGCTAGATTTAAGTATATACTCTTTGAGGTGGGTTGGTATAATTCTTAGGTATGTGTCTTCCACGTTTAGGTTGTTTTGTTAGAATCTTCCTGACTATGGGATAATTGGGTGATGGTATCAAATTCTCCTCCCTGAATTGAAACACACATAGACATATAGTGCATACTTCCTATGAAGGACTGGACCATTAATTCTGTATATGAAGCTTTCAGGGAATCTGTTGGTGACCTTTCTTTTTTTTCTGAAGAGACTTTTTTTTTTTTTTTTTTTTTTGCAGAGAGAGAAGAAGATAGTTGTAAATATAGAAACTTTGAAATCTATTCTTTTAAGCTAGAACCAAATGGGGATGGCTATGAGTTGAAAATGAGGCAAAGGGAAGGATTTCTCTCATTTTCTCAAGTGCCAAAATATATGCACAGAGTGTTTTTTCATCCCAATTGACAATTTTAGTATTTAAACTTCAAGCATCTTTTTTTTCCATGATGGTTTATTTTCTTTAATGAAAATATTCATAATTTGGTAATGTATGTTTTCTGTTTAGCATTTTGTTGTTAGTAGCACATGGTGTTACAGTATTTATATATTTTTAATAGCAATAATTGCCACCCGGTAATAGTTGCCATATTAACCTCCAATTGCTAGTAAATATTTTTAAGTACATAATAGACAGCAATTTAAGGCATAGTGTAGCAGTTTACTGGACCGTTTTAAAGAGCCATTTGTACGTGTGATGAGTTCATAATTTTAAAGAGAAAATAATGTACCTAAGACTTCCATGGTGCAAAATAATGTTGCTGTGTTACTGCTCGAAGTGCTCATTGAGAGGAAGTTAGGTTGGGACTCTTTCTTCTTTGTGAGAATAAAGGCCTGGGGTTGCCTTTAGGACTATAAGTGTTTATTGAGTTTATCCCAGGGGCTTATATAGCTTAGCATTTTCTTTGGAATGTTTTGCTCATGTTTTCATGGTTGTATTAGGTATTTATTTGGGGAAAAAATCTAAGGCATTCCTTTAAATAACATTAAGTTATAGTAGCGGATTATATTAGTTAGATATGTAAGAATGGATTCATCTTTTTTTGTTCACTGGCTAATTGTAGCCTTGTTAACATTAAGTTATAGTAGCGGATTATGTTAGTTAGATATGTAAGAATGGATTCATCTTTTTTGTTCACTGGCTAATGTAGCCTTGTTAATTGTGAGTTAATTGTGTTTATCAAACACTTTCGGAGATCTCCTCTACTCTTGAGATTAACAAAGAGGATACTCTGTCACCAGTTTGTATTATATGCTATAAATTGAGACAACCATTTGCAAAAGATAAGTACATTCTATAGTTATGTTTGCCAGATTATTTAAAATTGAGTTGAAAAAAAATTGAGTTGAAACTCAGTGTAAATAGTAAAAAGATTGCTTATCTGGATTTTTTTTTTTTTTTTTTTTTTTTTTAGTGTGTGTGCTGCCCAAGTGAGCACTATCTGGATTTTTTTAATGAATAGTTAATACAGCTGTTAAAAGTTTGATTCAGGGATAGACTAGATATTTTTTCTGAAATGATTTGACTTATTTTTGATAGAAGAGAATAATAATAATGTTCCCTCTTTCAGTAGTAGAAGGTACCCATGTGTGTG